TTTCATAAGTTTTATCATCATATACCCAAGTGTGGTTTTCTTTGTGTTTATTATGCGTGGGGTTGATGTCTTTCATCAGTTTTGTAAAATTCTTGGCCAATAGCTCTTCAATATTGTCTAGTCTTCATTCTCTTTTTACTCTCTTCTAGGACTCTAGTATGTGTTTGTTAGACTTTTCCACCACGATGTATATGTCTCATATGTCTTTTACGTATTTTCCATCCTATTTCACTGTGATTTGGTCTAGATATTTTCTATTGAGCTGTTTTCTCCTGGGTCTAATCTGTAAAACCCATCTACTGAATTTTTATTTTAATTAATGTATTTTTTCAATTCAGAATTTATACTGAATTCTATTTTTATTTTTCTGTGTTGGATTCCAATTCTTGGATGAAATTATCCATCTTTTCATGTATTTTTTTGGGAGCATATTAATCATGGTTACTTAAAGTCTGATAACTCCAATATCTGAATCACCTTTAGGTACATGCTTCTATTGTATGTTTTTTCTCTTGGTTTTCAGTCATTTGGTCTTGTTTGCTGGCCAGACTAGTAATTTTTAGATTAAATATGAATATTAAAATATGTATATAATTATACTATCTGGGTGGTATTATCTTCCTTTAAAAAGGATTTAGTTTTCTTCTTCATGCAGCTGTAGTGTGGGCAGATCATCTTGATCCAGTGAGGCTGGTCTGTTTTTGGTTCTCCCCTACTTCTAGAATGTAGCTTTTCCCTGCTGTTATCTGAAAGCTTGAGGTGTTTAGCAGGTCTCTCCTCCGTGGCAGGCCCTGAGTTCCAGTTCTTGTTTCCCCTGGTCTGTGAGACTACCAAATTCTCTTCTTAGGTCTTTACTCTTTGGGCAGCAACTTTCTGCCTCATTTCTTGGTTTTTGCCTGATTTCTTAGTGTTCGCTGAGCATAAGCACAACTTGGGAGTTGGCAAATGCCCTGAGGGGAAATTGCAGGCAGCATGGCTCACTTCATTACCCTTCCCTTCTCTCTGGAGTCTGATTCCAGTTTCTGGCTATATTGGTTGCCTATAGTTACTTTTGGTGGGAGAGATAGTTAGCTACTAGCTAACTGTTTGCCATCATAGTGGCAAACAAAAGTCTGGATAATCTTTCTGATGAGTAAATAGGTTTATGTTACTTCCTTAGTTATAACACTTAGATCACTTCCCAAGTGATAACATAACATAAAAAAGTCTTCATCACGGCCTAAAGACCCTACATGATCTGCCCTCCACCCACCTCTACTTCTGTGATCTTATCCCCTATTTATCTCCATCAGTAACTGTGCTCTGTCCACCCTGGCCTGTTGGGTTTTGATTAAGCCAAGCCATTTTCAACCTCACGACCTTTGCATTTGCATTTGCTATGCCCTCAGCCTGAAAATCTCTTCCTCCAGATTTCCCCCAGAAAGGATTTGCTCCATTATCTCATTTCAGTGGCTTTTCATGTGTCAGAGTGGCCTTCCTTGACCACCCTATCTGTAATATTACTAGGTCCTGTCTGCTTAGAATTCTTTTTCTGCCTCACATTGCTTTATTCTTCACAGCATTTGCCTGATACATGTTTATTGTCTGTTTCCACCACCAAGCTCTATGAGGCTGGAGCTTTGTCTGGTTCATTGCTTAATCCCCACTGCCTAGGACAGTGTTGAGGGTTCAATAAATATTTATTTGTTGAACTAATAAATTCTGTGTTATGAATGAACACTTTTCCCCCCAATAACACAATCCCAATAACACTAGGGAACATCAGACTTGGGTAACTGAGTAGAAGTTGGGGCTCTCACCCAGATGTGTGAATCTGCTGGGAGGAAGATGCTGACATTAGTTGAGATGCAGCGATTGCAGAGGGGCCTGTGGAATTTTCTTGGAGGAAGTTAGGCCTAGGAGGGAGCGGAGTCATCAGTCCTCATCCTTTACTGCCTTCTGCCTCGCTAATTGGGCTAATGCTCAGTTACACCTTTAAAGACCCTGAGCACACCCTATCCACCTCATAACACAATAAATGGGAGGTGGATACCAGCTACCGATAAAGTCTTAAATGCAAAGAATAAAACCTCATAGTTAATAAAAGAAAATGTAGGTGAGTATTAAGGACTTCTTTTAAAAATCTCAAAAGGATGAACCATAAATCAAAAAATTAATTTGAGTACATCAGTAGTGAGGATTTCTAGTCACTGAAAGACCCCCTGGGCCAAGGTAAGGAGAGATGATGGACAGGGAGAAGATATTTGCAATGCCTAAAATCAACAAGGGATTAAAAAGTAGGCTACAGACTCCTAGAGATCAACAAGAAAAACATAGCAACCCCAACAGAAAAATGGAAAAGGATTTATAGAAAAACAGGCAATTTGTAGAAAAGAAAATCCAAAAGACTAACAAACATGTGATGAGGAGCTTGAGAGATTAGTAACCAGATAAATTCCCATTAAAGCAACAGGAACCTACCGTTATTAGATTGGCAGACATCAACGAGCTGAATAATGCTATGCCATGTAGGGTTTGATCAGAGAATCAGAACCATTATGAGTTATGTAATGAATTAATTAAACTAACTGCTTTAACAGCTGTTGCTTTTAACAGCTTTATTGAGTTACAATTCACACACCACACAATTCACTCATATAAAGTGTATAATTCAATCCTTTTCAGTATATTCACAGAGTCATGCAATCATCACCACAGTTAATTTTAGAATATTGTCATCACCCCAAAAAAAACACCCACATCCCTTAGCCATTACCCCCACCTCAATCCTCCTTTCCTCCCAGCCCTATGTAACTACTAATCTACTTTCTGCCTCCATAGATTTGCCTTGTTAAATACAATTTATAAGAGGCCATTGGTTTGGACTGGGCTCCTGTACTAGGTCCCAAAAAGTCCAAGCCAAAATACAGTCCCTCTTGCTGAAGTTCCACATCATCAAGCCGAAACTAAGTTGTTTATCTTACTTTCTGAGAAATCAGGTATGATCTGACTGGTGTCCTTATAAGAAGAAGAAATTTGGACACAAACATATATACACTTGCGGACAAAGAAAAGACCACAATGAGTGAGAGAGAGGGAGAGAGAGAAAGAGGGAGAGATACATTACAGCCAAATCTCCAAACAGGCCAGTTTTAGCTGGCAAGATAAAGAAGTCCCCTCTTTTTAACCTTTTCAAGTAAAGTAACTTTGAAACAGTTCATCATTTTTTGTTTTCTGTCTCTGCTTTCCTCAGCCCTTCTTGGTCTATGAAACCAACCCCTTCTGTCCATCTCATTGGAACACTCATCCTATTTGATAGAATGAGGTGTTGCTCGATTCTAGAATTGCATATAATAGCCAATTAAGATCTTTGCATTTGCTGTATTATAATTCTGTCTTTTGACAGCCTATTTTGGACATTTTGTTAAGTGGAATCATTCCACACGTGGTCCTTGGGATTTACTCTGTGGATTAGAGCCATGTGATTGTGGGAGCTGGATGAACACATCTGCGTAAGTCTGTTGGCCCTGTGTCTGGCGCTGGGCTGGCCTTGGGGAAGAGAAGATGGACATGAAGCTGGGGAGCTCAAGGACAAACTGGAACCCTGAGGATGTGCTAAAACCTGTGATGATGAACTGTAACCTGTGCCAGTCTCTCGCTGCCTACAAGTCGCCCACTTCAACCATTCAGGTAGAAAAGCTGGCATACTTTGGGGCTACACACAAAATGAGCTCAGGATTTCGAGTCAGTGAAGGTCTTGTGGGTTCCATTGCTGACTATCTTGGCCAGCAAGGAGAGCCACAGCTCTATGACAACAGGCATGAGCTGCAACTGTACCCCACTGCACCCCAAACTTCCACGTATAAGCCTGGCCGCTGCTTCATTTCTGCCTTGCAAATCCTAACGCAAATGTCTGCTGCAGCCAATGCTAAACCAGTGTAGGGAAAGGAATTCTGGGAAATGTAGTTGTAGCTTAGCTGAATTAGCATAATACAAAACCACCCCAGCCTCCAAGTGTCATTAAGGTTTATGGAATCCTTGTGAATTCGTAGAGGGAGTAGGCTGATCAGGGCATTATATTTAATCAAAATCGGTGGATGTATGCCCTGCAACCCCACAATTCTATTACTGGTTATAGCCCCCCAAGCCCCTCCTCCCTACCCTCTGACCCATAAGGGGACACATACGCCGGTGTTTATTATAGCGTTTGTAATGGCAGGAAATCAGAGACCACGTAGGTGTGCACCACTGAGAGAGTGGAGAGATTACCATGTGAAGGTTGACCGTGGAGTTCTACACAGCAATGGATTGGATGATATTGGACATGTCAACAGTACATGGATGGTTCTTGCCTGATGTGTGTTCCCTGAAAAAAAAAAAAGAAAAAAAAAGAAAAAACAAACAAACAAAAAATACTACATTGATGGATCTGAATGATGGCGCTGGAAAAAAAGCCCCTTCAGAATGACATGCGAGTATGTAATACCACTGATGTAACTTAAAGATACATGCACAAAAAGGAATAAACACAATTTATAAGAATATTTTCTGTTATGTTGTGTCTGCCCTAAAATTCGTGTGTTGAAACCCTAACCCCCAGTGCCTCAGAATGTAACTGTATTCGGACATAAGGTCTTTAAAGAGGCCACTGAATTAAAATGGGGTCTTGTGGATGGGCCCTAATATGACCTGACTGGTGTCCTTATAAGAGGAAATTTGGACACAAACATATATGCACATGCAGTAATATGAACCAATACAGGGGTCAAGCGGACAGACAGGACTGGAGTGAAGGAGTTGGGGGCTGAGGGCAGACGGCTGGTGGTGATAGGGTCGGAGATGGAGTGGAGGATGGGGCTGGAGGTGACAGAGTTGCTCAATAGAAGACAGACAGGGTCTGAATGAGAAAACCGGGCCTGGAGACTTAGGCAAGAGCTAGCACAGCCAGATGTCATGCTCAGGGATCTAGGGTTGGGGGGATCAGCTTGGGGACAGATCCTGAAAGGAGAAGGTGTTGATGCATGTATGAAAAAAATTTATTTCCATATAGTACTTGGAATGGGGTCTGGCGAGGGGTACATGCAGGTTCTCCCTGGTCCCTACCCCTATAGCTGCTGGGAGGGTCTGAAGATGTACAGGAAGTAGGTCTTGCGGGCGGGCAGCCTGGCATGGGAGGAGCCCTGGGTCCCCTCTTCGAGGACGTCCTCACGGGTGCCCTCGCGGAGCCCATCCCGGATGGCCTGCAGGCGGTGTCGCTTCTCACTGAGCCAGTGGCTGCCCTCTGGGGCATCCTGGTGGGATTTCCGCCGTGGCAGCTTCATGATCCAGAAGGCCACCCGGGGATGGGGCTCTGGGTGAAAGCTGTCCATGGCCTTCCGGATGGGCAATAGGGCCTCCTTCTCCTCCATCCTAGGTACCTGGGAGGAGGAACAAGGAGACCCTTTCTCACTCCAAACAGCAACCCCAGGATGCTCAGCCCCCACTGGCTTATTCAACCCACTTTGCAGCTGACAGAGTGCTTTGGTCATTAAAAAGCCCTCTCTAGGGTTTACACTTTCGGATTAAATATATTCTGAGGTTTATGGAATACTTTGGGATTGAAAATATGTTTGGGGGGGTTTCAAAGGGAGGTATAACAGAACACTTCAGGGTTTATAATGCCTGTTGGGATTACAAAGCACTTTAGGATTAAATACTCTCTGAGGTTTAGAAAGCACAGTTTGAAATGTACAAAGCACTTTGGGACTAAAAGCTCTTGGGTTCATTAAAGAATCATGGCCATAAATGCAATGTGTTATCTTTGATTGAATCCTGGATCAAAAATAAAATCAGCTTTCAAGGACAGCTTTGAGTCAAGGGAGGAAATTTGAATATGGATGTCTATTCTGTCCTTGCTTTTCAAAGTGTGGGCTGCTATTAGGCAGCAAATTAGTGGGTCCCACCCCACCCAGACCTACTGAATCAGGGTCTGTCTTCTAATAAGTGTGTGAGAAGCCCTGTAGGAGATTATGGGTTGAATTGTGTCCTCCCCAAATTCATATTTTGAAGTCCTGACTTCCAATACCTCAGATAGTGACCTTATTTGGAAATAGGGTCCTTGCAGATTTAATTAGTTAAGATGAGGTCATTAGGTTGGGTCCTAATCCAATGTGACTGGTGTCCTTATGCAAAGGGGAAATTTGGACATGGAAATGCACACAGGGAGGACGCCATGTGAGGATGAAGGCAGAGATCAGGGGATGCTTCTACAACCAAAGACCTCCAAAAATGGCCAGCACCCACTGGAAGCCAAGAGAGAGGCACAGAACATACAGATTCTCCCTCAGCTCTGCAAGGAACCAGCCTTGCTGACACCTTGATCTTGAACACATAGCTTCCATAACTGTGACACAACAAACTTCTGTTGTTTAAGCCACCCAGTTTGTAGTAGTTTGTTATGGCAGCCCTAACAAACTAATGCAGGAATAACAGTTTGATAGCAACATTTTCTTGGATGTCAAACTGGTACTGTGGTCTTGTGGGAAAATATAGTATTATTATTATTATTATATATTTTTTTGAGACAGGGTCTCTGTCACCCAGGCTAGAGTGCAGTGGCATCATCATAGCTCACTGCAACCTCGAACTCCTGGGCTCAAGAGATACTCCTGCCTCAGCCTCCTGAGTAGCTGGGACTACAGGCATATGCCACCACGCTTAACTAATTAAAATATATATATATTTTTTGTAGAGATGGGGTATTGCTATGTTGCCCAGGCTGGTCTTGAAATCCTGGCCTCAAGGGATCCTTCCACCTTGGCCTCCCAAAGTGCTGGGATTACAGGTGTAAGCCATGGTGCCCAGCTGGGACTATATTATTCTTAGGAGATTCTGCTCAAGTATTTAGGGGTGAAGTGTCAAGATGACAGCAATTTACTGTCATATGGTTCAGAAATAAACAAGTAAAAATAGATGAAATCTTGCAAAGTGTTAACAAGAGGTGAATCTAGGCCAAGGGTTCTCAACTGAAGTCTGGAGACATTTTGGGGTGTCACAACTGGTGAGGGTGGGGATGCTACTTCTGTCTAGTGGGTAGAGGCCAGGGACACTGCCAAACATCCTACAGTGCACAGGTCAGCCTCCACAACAAAGGATTATCCAACTCCAAATGCCAATGGCGCCAAGGTTGAGAAGCTGTGGTCTATGGAAAAGAGAATACAGGCATTTTCATTGTGTTACTTTTAAAAAAACCTACACTTTCCTGCAGGTTTGAAATTTTTAAAATAAAAAACTGAGAGCGTATTAGACGTGTGGAAGCCATATAGGGTTACCAAGAACTAGGGGATTCTTAAAACTTTTTAGGAATAAAAATACTTTGATATTTGCAAAGCACTTTGTGATTAAAATCACTCATTAGTTTACAAAAGGTGAGATACCCAAAGGATTTGGAGTTCGTAAAGCACTTTGAAATTAAAAATCACATTTTGAAGTTTACAAGGGAGAGGTTTACCAAAAACTTTGGGATATATTAAAAAATACCCTGGGCCGGTGTGGTGGCTCACTGCCTGTAATCCTAGCACTGTGGGAGGCCGAGTTGGGAGGATTGCTTGAGCCCAGGAGTCTTGAGGTTGCAGTGAGCTGATGATGCCACTGCACTCTAGCCTGGGAGACAGAGTGAGACCCAGTCTCAAAGAAAAAACAAAGTTCTCTGAGGTTTGCAGAGCACTTACTTGAGGTTTGTGAGGCTGAAGCTTACCAAGCAATTGAAATTGAAAGCACTTCTGAGTTTATAAAACACTTTAGCACTCACAAAACCCTCTGGGGTTTACTAAACAGTTGGGGATGTATTCTGAGGTTGTAAACCTCATTTCTCAGAGTTGGTTTGTCCCTTTTGAGAAATGACAAAACTGAGGCCCAGAAGGAGGAAGTTCTACACAGAGGGAGGGAGAGGAAGGGTCAACTCCTCTTCCTCTCCTCCTAAACTACAGAAAATATTGGGGCCTGGACACTTTGAGGGTGGGGCATGTCCAAACCTTCCAGTCACCCTCCAAGCTTCCCTCTGCTGGCTGGATGGATGCCACCACCTTCTCGGAGATCAGCACTTCTCCTGTCTTGTTGTCAGTCACCTGTGAGGATTGGATGACAGAGTGCGAGCAAACCCACTTTCCCCCTCTGCCCTCCTTCCCTCTGGCCATGTACTGTAGCATGAGGCATCAGGTGCCATGGGGAGACTCCAGCAGGGCGTTCCTGCATAGGCACCTTGTCAATCTGGAGGCGGCTGGAGAGGGTGTTGTTACCCAGCCGGCGCTCCTGCTTCTCCTCTTGGTGGTAGTTCCTAGGGAGGCCCTGGAAGTCCATGGGGGCGGAGAAGAAACTGTCCATGCCCCGAAACAGGTCATCCTGGGGTCGGAAGAGGGATTGGTGAGCTGCTGGACTTCAGGTAACCCCAGACACTTGCAGCACTTCCAGGATACCCTTGAGGTCTTGCCCCATGTCCTACTCTTCCCCTTCCTTCTCTGTCCTCTGATGCTTGGGGCCTGACTTCTGTCCTATATCTCCCATTCTGTTTCTATTCCCCATCCCATTGCCTTACTACTCCTCCCCCGCATCTGTCCCATTGTCTCTGTCCCCATCCCTCTCTCCTCTTGTCTCTTTGTTTTTCTCCACTCTCTTATCTCTGTCCCATCTCCCTCTCTCTTGTCTGTTACCTTCCCTCTCTTCTGTTGGTCTCCCTGTCGCCCTGTTTCTCTGTCCCTCTGACTCCCTCTCTTCCTTTGTCCCCGTCTGGCCCCAACCCGTCTCCTACTCTGTCTCCCTGAATCTCTTCTGTGTACCTCTTCTTCGCCACCAACTCTCGCCATCGCTTACTTTCAGGAAAAGTCGGCTGAAGGCTTGGAGTAGGTTCTGGAGGCCTAGAAGACTCAAGGAGCTCTCCTGGGCGTCAGCATTGCGGTTAGGGGCTGCAGAGGAGAGGGACACCAGGGCAGAGGGGAGCAGCAGCAGCAAGACCAGCGGTTGCCACATGGTGGGGCGAGCGGGGAGGCTGCGGCAAGGGTAGGGGTTAGAGCTCCCGCCCGGACGAGGCCCGGTCCCCGCAGTGGCCACGCCCCCCCCAAGACACCCTTCTGCTCCTTGCCCACGCTGTGTCTCCAGTCCAGGCAACTCCCCACATAACGCCCATTTCCCCCACTCCCTTTTTCTTCTACTCCTGCTCCCTGCATCCTGCCACGGCGCCCTCCTCCCAGGCCAGGCTCTTCTGCGTCCCGCCTCATACACTGATCTCTTTCCTCACTTTCGCCCGCATTCATACTCGGATCTCATTCCTCACCTTCTCCCACGTCCCGCCCCTTCTTCTGGGCCTCGCCCTTATACTAGACCACAGCGCTCGGTCAGCGGACTCCCAGACTCCGGCGGCCCAAAGACAGTTAAATCCAAACAGTTCTGGGCTCGAGCCCAGGCGGGATACTTGGAGCGTTGGATGCGCTCCGCGAGCCCTAGCCACGCCCCTAGGACTGACAACGCCATCCGCTTACCTCACCCTTGTACCCTGGTCTTTAATTCATGGCCACGCCCCCGGGGCGGAGCCACGCCTCTCATTCTTCATTAACCACACCCCTTAAGCTAGAGCCGCCTGCTCGTTCCCCTGGCCACGCCCATATAGTCAGACCACGCCCCTGCAGGTTGACCTCAGCTGTGGAGCCCGCCACCCTGCTAGTGCTCTAGTCTGATCCCCGCCTTAGCGTAGGAGTCCCGCACCAATCGCAGATGGCCACGCCCCTTGAGAGCCACGCCCCTGCACCTGGGCCACGCCTCTGTGCCCCAGATCTTGCCCCGAGCGCCCTCAGTTTCCTTCCTCCCTCTGCTCGGAGACGCCGGAGTCTGAGCAGTTATTCTAGTTCTCTCGCTCTTTAATTTTATATCTCTGAGCCTTTCTCCGTGACCCTGCTCGTTTTCCCGTTCGGGTTCCACTAAAAAGCCCCACTCTCTCCGGAAACCCTAAGTCCAGTCCTACAGGAACCTGGAATTAGGGCTCCCTTTTCGCTCGGGACCCCAAGTGTGGACTCCGGCCCCCCCGTCTCGTGAGTCTGAGCACCCGGCCCTTTCGACCTTAAGGAACCGGGCTCTAATCCGCCTCCCCTCAGGCACCCAGGCTCTCTCCTGGTCCCGGGACATCCACCGCCTCCAGTCCACTACTAGTGCGTGTGGAAGCGGGAGTCCTCACCTCTGTGAGCCTCCAACGAACTCTCGGGGGTCTTCCCCACGACTATTAACTGTGGCCTCGAGGCCAAAGGAAACCGTGTTGTCACGAGAATCAGTCAAAATCCTTCCCCATACCCCAATCCTCAAAAATGTACTTGGGGCTGCACAGTAAAGATTCTTTGTGCTGGTATCACTTGCACAGCCCCAACACACACACGCACACACACACTGGGGGGTTGACAGGAGTCCGGGCCCCGAGCCCTCTCCTGCCTCAGACTAGGAGCCCACGTCTCCAGCCCCCTCCTCCCTCAGACCCGGAATCCCAGCTCCCAGCCTCCTCCCTCGGACCCCTCCCATCAACCTCTCCCCTCAGTCCCGGAGTCCAGACCCCCAATCTCCTCCTCTCCCAGGGACCCGAGCATCCAAACCCCGAGTTCCCACCAGTCCCCAGGTAGACTTCATCTCTCCCAAGGCAGAAATCCTCCCCCAAACTGTCACGGTCGGATCCCCTCTCCCGCTGTCCGCCGCCTGGGCCCGCCCCCCCTGCGGTCCCTCCCACTTTTCCCAAACAAAGCTCCCGGCAACTTTCTCCCTCGCCGCGCCCCGCCCGCCGCGGCTCCCCAGCCCCAGGCCGGGAGGTAGGAAGGCGCCGGTGGGAGTCGGGGACCCGCTTTGGGGTGTGTGAGTTGGGGTGGGAAGTTGCTCGCTATGAGGTGAGCTGTGTGTCGTGGGACCAGCGCTGAACTGCCCGCCGCGCTCTCTTTGCCTGGGGCCGCGAGTTTGCGCTCCCGTCCGAGCCTCTGTACGGAGCTGGAAGTTTCGCCAGAGTTAGGGTGTTTGTGGATGGGGCCGCGTCTGGGCGTGTAGTGCGCGCAGGGGTGGGCGAGGGCTGAGGACTCTGGCGGGCTGTGGGGGTGCGTGAGTGTCTGCGGCAGTGTCAGTTGGGACTGAGAGGGACCCCGTGTGCAATTTGTGGGCTTCGGGTCCGCCTTATGGAGAAGGGAAGGCCTCGGAGGTAGCCGAGGGAGCGCCTTAGGGCTTTCTGGATCTTCAGTCTTGTCTTTTCGGGGCTATGGGGCTGCGGCGGGAAATTAGGGGGTACCTTTCTTACTCGGCTCCACCGTCCCTTTGTCTGGCCACATGGGGGAGGGCTGGGCTGGGATTTTGGCCTACGGGGTCCTGAGCGCCGCAGCGTCACTGCGCTCGGGCTGGGCTCTTTGTCTGCCAGGGTCCGAGGGAGAAGAGGAATGGGGGCCCTGGACCCTGGGGTCCTGGGAAAGCTGTGGAAGACATGGAGCCTCCAGGGAGGCGGGATCTGTGTTGGGAAAAGTTTTCCCTGTTCCTGGCCTCCGGAAAGTCACTGGGAACTTGAGTTGGATCTGAGCCCACGGCGCAGGGGGAGGGGAGGAGAGGGCCGGGGAGGGGCGGGACCGGGGGCCGGAGGGGAGTCGCCCTGCTGGCCAGCCCCGCCCCTGATGGGGGTTGTGGGAAGCTGGGGGAGGGGACGCCTGGGCCCTTTGTTCTGGCTCGCCTGATGGCAGGGCGCCCCTGCCCCCCAGCCTGTGGTTCTGTGGGTCTTTCCTGGTCTCGGCCTCAGTTTCTGCCCTGAGTCTCTACCCCTCTTTCTGGGTCTCTGTCCTCTTCTCTCTAGGTCTCTGTGGTCCTCTCTTTGGGTCTCTGTTTCTCTCTCTCCAGGCCTCTGTGCCCTTCTGAGTCTCAATCTCTCTTTCTGGGTCTCTATATCCTTGTCTCTCTGGTCTCTGTCCCCTTCTCTCTGGGTCTTGGTTTCCTTCTTTCTAGATCTCCTGTCAACCTTACTTGGGCCTCTCACCTCTTCCTTCTTTTCTAGCAGCTGCTGCTCACATCCTAGCACCTGTTCCTGGGGTGGGACTGGGATGGTTGCACCCACACCCTCCTTCCCTGCAACTAGCTCCTGACTTCCATCTTCTCTAAAACCAGGAACCCATGCCCAGAGTTTTAGCCCTCATGGGCCCTAGGCATTACTCTGGGGTATTTACGACTTCTACAATTCAGTTCCTCTCCAAACTCAGAGAACACTCACACCCTAAGCTTTTCCAGAAATCCAGCCCCTTTCTCCTCCAGGACCCAGCAGTGCGGACCCCCAGCCCTCAAGCTTCAAGTTCTTCGAGGGGGTTTGGGGGAAGCTTGCTGAGCTCTGTGTTCCTCCAGGCCCAGATGGGGGAACCCCGGGTTGGGGCCCCCCTGGACGATGGCAGCGGCTGGACAGGCAGTGAGGAAGGCAGTGAGGAGGGTACTGGAGGCAGCGAGGGGGCTGGAGGAGACGGTGGCCCGGATGCAGAGGGTGTCTGGAGCCCAGACATTGAGCAGAGCTTCCAGGAGGCCCTGGCCATCTACCCACCCTGCGGCCGCCGGAAAATCATCCTGTCTGATGAAGGCAAGATGTATGGTGAGTCTACCTGAGTCTTTTGCCCCTGCCCACACCGATTAATAGTGATAATGATCAACACTTATGGAGCTCTAAGTGACGTTCAGGTAAAAATGCATTATTATTCTCACAGCGACTCTCAGTAGGAGCTAGCATCACCATTTGCATAGATGAGGAAACTGAGGCACAGAAAGGTTAAATGATTTGCTTAAGGTCACAGAGATGGTACATGATCAAGCTGGGATATGAACCCAAGCAGTCTGGCTCCCATATAGCCGAGGAGACCTGCAGGCCAGCTGCTACAGACCTTTGGGGACTATTGCTGCTCTCTTCTTTCCTAGTTTCCTGTCCGTTGGGAAGTTCTGCTGAAGGTCTAACTCTGTTCCATCTTTGAATCTTCAGGTCGGAATGAACTGATTGCCCGCTACATCAAGCTGAGAACGGGGAAGACCCGAACTCGCAAACAGGTCTCAGAACTGACTTGTGGGCTTCTGTCTGGGATGGGCCTATCTTCTTAGGGGACTTCCTTGTATGGACAGGTTCAGGTTCAAGGAGGATCTGGTTCATGTGCTTTTGTCTGTTGTCTCGGCATGGCTGTCAGTGTTCTCTAACTGTGCCTATTTTGGGATAGTTTCCTAGCAGTTGTGTTAGAACCAGAGAGTCAGGCCGGGCGCGGTGGCTCACGCCTGTAATCCTAGCTCTCTGGGAGGCTGAGGTGGGTGGATTATTTGAGCTCAGGAGTTCGAAACCAGCCTGAGCAAGAGCGAGACCCCGTCTCTACTAAAAATAGAAAGAAATTAATTGGACAACTAAAAATATAGAGAAAAAATTAGCCGGGCATGGTGGCACATGCCTGTAGTCCCAGCTACTCGGGAGGCTGAGACAGGATTGCTTGAGCCCAGGAGTTTGAGGTTGCTGTGAGCTAGGCTGACGCCACGGCACTCACTAGCCAGGGCAACAGAGTGAGACTCCGTCTCAAAAAAAAAAAAAAAAAAAAAGAACCAGAGAGTCAGAGAGACCAAAAGAGCCAACAAGAAAGCAATGGGGAAGGGGACAGAGGCCTGGATTTGCTGGACCTGGGGAAAATCAGTGGAGTTAGCAAGTTCCTGGAAAGAATAGCCTTTGCAGACATATCCGTGTTTGCATGCTCCCGAGATGGCTAGCACCTTCTGTGTGTTTGTCATCTTTCATGTTCTAGCAGCTCAGTGGGGCACCTGCAGGAAGGGAAGGGGTAGTGAACGCAAGGGGTGGGTGGTGGCTGTGGTCTGAATCTGCTTCTCTGTTGATCCCTCCAGGTCTCTAGTCACATCCAGGTTTTGACCCGAAGGAAATCAAGGGAAATCCAGTCCAAGCTGAAGGTAGGGGCCAAGGCAGACATCCCAAGAGGGAGACAGAGACTTAGAGAGAGAAGAACAGAGACCTAGAGACAGAGGGGGACAGGGCCCAAAAGAGAAGGGAGCAGAGGCCCAGAGACAGGAGGGCAGAGACCCAGGGAAAGGGGGATAGAAACTTATAGAGGGTGACAGAGACTAGAGAGAGGAGGACAGAGACTCAGAGACAGAGGGTGACAGAGACTAGAGAGAGGAGGACAGAGACTCAGAGACAGAGGGTGACAGAGACCCAGAGAGAGGGGGACAGAGCTCCAGAGAGAGGAGGGCAGAGACCCAGAGGGAGGGGGACAGAGACCGAGAGAGAGGGTGACAGAGACCCATCATGGGGGACTTCTGTAGACAGGGCAGGGGGTACAGACACCCAAGGTGGGGGATCAGTGGCCCAGCAAGAGGGGGTAGATAGAGACCCTGGGTAGGGAGAGATCGCATAGAGGGGGGGATGAAGATTTAGCTTAGGACAGTACAAAGGGTGGGCTGTTAGTCCTCCCCTTGGCTGCTGTTGTCACCCCCTTCCTGTCCCTCTTCTTTTGCTCTTCCTGGCGGTCTCATTTTTTCTTCTCTTTCATGCTACGAAGATCTCCTGTTTGTCCCCTCTGGTTTATCGTCCCATTTCCTGGCCCCATGTGCCCTGCCAGCTCTTTTTGTGTCCAGAAACCTTCATTTCCTGTTGGAGATTCTTATATCCATCTTCTTTTCTTCATCCTTTGGATTTTCTGTTCCCTCTTGGCCTGACACCCTCATAGTCTACCCTTCTGGGCCTGAGGGGATTTTTTTTGTCTCTTCCTTTGAACTTGAGGATAATCACTTCCTGTTCTTTTTTGTACCCGGAAGACTTCCCTTCCTTTCTCTCTAGGTCTAAAAACCTTCACTTCCCATCTTTCCTGGACCTTCTCTGTTCCCTCTCTGTTCTGTCTGGACTAGGAAACATTCACCTCCTATTCTCTCTGGGTTTGAAATTCTCATTTCCTGTCGCCTGAGCATCTGGGAATCTCTACTCTGGCTTTTTCTTGACCTAGAAACCCTCATTACTGTCTTTTCTCCTGGACAGGGAGACCCCTTCTCCAGGGCTGGCCACTGTTACTTCCTACTCACGCCCATCCCTTTGCCTTTGCCCTCTGACCCCCATTGCTCAGCTCAGGGTGGTGGGACTGTGTGGGCTGGTAGGGCAGGGAGGTGAGGGAGTCTAGGCCTCACTTCCTAAGTCATGTTTTCTTTTCTCCTTTGGCACCCTCCCCCACCCCCACGGGCAGGCCCTGAATGTGGTAAGTCCCCCTGCCCATCCTGCCACCCGCTCTCACTCCAGACAATTGCCCCATCCAGGAGGAGGGCAGAGGACTGTAGTGAGAGGGAGTTCAACCCTCTCCCAGCCCTGTGCGTTGACTCCCCAGCTCTGCGTCGCCCCATCCTGGCCCCGCCCCGGCATTGTCCCACCCTCGCTGTGTTAACTGGGACTCCCTATTAACAGGAACCGTCACCTTTTCCTCCAGGACCAGGTTTCCAAGGACAAGGCTTTCCAGACCATGGCCACCATGTCCTCGGCGCAGCTCATCTCTGCACCTTCCCTGCAGGCCAAACTGGGTCCTGCCGGTCCTCAGGTGGGTGGGTGGCCTGGGCTGGGGATTATGGGGTTTGGGGCTGGAGGGATGGGGCTGCAGTTGCCAACCCGGGACTGACCAACCGCCCTTCTTTGTCTCCTCTCCAGGCCTCTGAGCTTTTCCAGTTTTGGTCAGGGGGTTCTGGACCCCCCTGGAATGTTCCAGAGTGAGTACTTTGTGTCCTGGCTCAGCACCTGACTCCCACCCTCACACCCCCCAGAGAACTTTCTCACTCCACTTTCTAGCTCCCCTCTTCCTTTTGAACACAGACTCTGGAGCCAGGCTATCTGATTTGAATCCGACCTCTGCCCTTTATCAGTTGCGGGCCTTGAGTAGGTGACTTCAATGCACAGAGCCTCAGTTTCCTCATCTCTAAAATGGAGATAATAATAGTACTTCCCTCACAGTTTCATTGTTGGAATAAATGAGTTTAACACATGTACAATTATTAGGATAGGACCTGGCACATAATAAGTGCTCAGGACTAGGTCTGAACTGGGATAGTGAGGAGGGGCCTGGGCAGAGGGAGTTGGGAGTGGAAGGGACGGGGCTAGGGCTGTTGGCCTGGGAAGGAGGAAGGAGGCAAGGATAGCATCGAGGGTTTGCCTAGAGTCGGTGGGACTGTCTGGAGATGCGCAACCTGGGGAAGAAGTGGGTTTTAGGGTGAAATGAGCTCAGCATGGGACTTGATGAGTGGGAAGGGCCTGCAGGACATCCATGGGATAATGATCCCCCAGTGGGATTGTTCTAGCCCCAGAGGCTCATGGGAAAGGCAGTTGTAGGTCCAGAGACTCCAGGAAGGATCAAATGGAGCCCCAGAGGCTCATGGGAAGGCTTGTTTCCATCCCATTGAGATGGTTCTTGGACTTGAGGGTAGTAGAATAGGGGTTATTATCCTCTCTTAGGCTCAGAAGGAAGCAAATGGGTCCCAGAGGTACATGGGAATGTCCTTTTCAGCTCTGAGAGAGTCCTGAGGGTGATGGGATGTGTTTCTAGTCTAGAGGAATAGGAATGGGCCCCAGAGGCTCATGGGAAGTACCCTTTTCAGCCCAGACAGGAACTAGTGAATCCAGGCTGGGTGTCAGTAAGGCAATGGCTACAGGACAGTGAGGCAGGAGTGTTCAGGGTATTGCCAGGGGAAGAGTGAAGTGACAGGCCATGGGGTCCGGACTGGGAGAGAAGAAAGTTCACTGGTGAGCTGTGGCTGCTTGGGGACAGAGGAAAGCATCAGAACAAGTCCCCAGGAGCTGAAGGAACCACAGGTTTGCAGGGGAGGGGCCGAGCTGGAAGGAGGGCCGGTTCCGCAGGCACTGCACTGGGGAGATGAATGTTGATTAAATCATCACCTGCATGAACACACAACTGGAGAGTGCGTGAAGTGCTGTGAAGAAACACAACAGGTCCTGGGGTGGAGGAGAAAGTTCTGGGGATTCCTTTGAGAAGGTGACACTGAAAGCTGAATAGGACTTGGCCAGGTGAAGGTTGTGGGTGGGAATGTTTTAGGCAGAGAAAACAGCTCGCAATAGCATGTGACAGGGCCCTGAGGTAGGAAAGTTTGGTGGGTTCCAGGAGGTGAGAGAAGGCCAAGATTAAGCAATTGGTTGGTCAAAGATTTATTGAGTGCCTACTAAGTGCCTGGTATTGTGCTTGGTTTGGGGACACAGCAGTGAACAAGATAGATAGAATCCCTGCCTTCATGGAGCTTTATGTATTTGGGGAGGGGAGGAGGCAGACAATAAACATGTAAACAAATAAGAATTAATAAGAAAAGGGATAAATATGAGAAATAAAGCAGGGTGTATGAGCTCAATTTTAGACAGGGGTCAAGAAAGTTCACTCTGAGGAGGTGACATTTGAACAATGGCTTTGATGACCAGAGATTATGTCAATGAGCAGAATATTGGAGTTTAGATTTTAGAATTGGGATGACGAGGACTAAGGCAGAGCCCTTGGGAATCAGAGTCTGAAGGTCCCTGGAGTTTGTTTTTCTGATACAGGTCTTTTGACCCTTGACCTCTTTCCTGATCTCTGACCACCATGCCTATCTACCCCTGACCTCTGACTTCTGTGTCTCTATACCACCATCTCCTGTGCTACCTTTGAACCTCTAGAACTGTCTTTGGTACTGTGGCCACTAGGCATATGCAGCTATTCTAATTAAAATTAATGAAAATTAAATAAAGTTTAAAATTCAGTTGCTCAGACATATCAGCCACACCAGTGCTCAGTAGTCACATGTAGCCAGTGGCTACTGTGTTAGACGGTAAAGATGTGGAACATTCCATCACACAGAAAGTTCTGTTGGACGGTGCTGCCTCCCCACCCCGACCTTTGGCCTGATGGTCCATCTCCTGACCCCTGGTCATTTTCTTCCCACCCTCGCAGCCCCTCAGCCTCTTCTTTCTTCAAATTCCCCATCTTCTTTGTCTTCTCCCTATGTCCCAAGACCTGGTTTCTCTTCTCCTTCTGACATTTTGTGAGGGGTATCAAAATGTCATCATTAAGAGTGGCTTCGTGGTTAGGACTGACCTACGTTCAAGTCCAGGCTCCATTGCACCCCAGTGGTGTGACTTTGGGCAGGTCTGTGCCTCAGTTTCCTCATTTGTAAAATGAGAAGAACAGTAATTCCACCTACCCTATAGGCTGTGAGGCTTCAGTGACATTGTGCACAGAGTATCCTAGCACAGGGTCTGGCTTCTCGTGGCCTCTAATTAAAGATTAACTGGTATAAATAGCATCTTTCTATCTTGCTGACCCCTGGCTTCCTTTTTCTCTCAGCGTGAAGCCATTCTCACAGACACCGTTCTCCTTATCACTGACTCCCCCAGCTACTGACCTCCCAGGTAAGAGCCTGCTCTCCACCCTCCTTTGCCTCCCATCTCTCTCCTTGACCACAACTACGTTTCCTTCAACCTTCCATTAATCAGGGAACACATTCTTACTGAGGCTCAGTTCTGTGGCAGTGTGTGTGTGTGTGTGTGTATGTGTATGTGTCTGTCTGCGGTGAAAAGTGAGTGGCAGAATTTGCAATGGTTAAGAGCAGGGTCTCTGTAGCCAGACACACACTGGTTTTGTATTCTGTCACTTGCTAGCTTATGAGACATTGGGGAGGTGTATTAGCCAAGATTCTTGCAGTGCAAGTGATAGAAGCCCAAATCAGGCTAGCTGAAGCAAAAAAAAAAAAAAAGGGGGGGGGAAAGAAGGAACTTTTTTTATCAGTTCAAATAACTGATAATTCAGAATGATGGCTTCAGGCATGGCTGGATCCTGAAGTGGATGCTACTCAAGTGGTAGCATTGGGAGTTGCTTTGGTCTGCTTTCCTCTGTGGTGGCTTCAATCCCAGGCAGGCTCAGCTCACCTGGCTTCCAGACGTCCATGCTGATGTGGCCCTGAGAACTCATGTCAGTGAAAAAGGGAGTCCCTGGATCCCCCACGTTCCACAGATTTATCAATTAGGAATACTTTCAGCTGCAAGTAACAGAATGCCCAAGTTAATAGTGCCTTAAACAGTAAAGGCTTTAATGTAAATAATAAAGGCTTTAACTTTTTGTTAATTCCACATAACAAAAAGTCTGGAGGTGGGCTGCTCCTGTGCTGGCTCTGTAGCTCAGCAATATCAGGACTGGCATTTCTATAGTTCCCCTGGCCTCTGTCTTATTGTCCTAAGATGGCTGTTGTGACTCCAGGCATTATGTTCCAAACAGGACTTGGACAGGGCAAAAGCTTTCTCCTCCCAAAGTTCTGTCTTTTTCATTCAGGAAGAAACTCCTTCCCAGAAGCCCCCCCTAACATCTCATTGGCCAGGACTGTGTCACATGGCCACCTCTAGCTGCAAGGGAGGCTGGGAAAGTGAGTATTTAGCTTTTTCAGCTTCTAAGTGGAGGCAGGCAAGAGAGAACAGTACCTGATATATTCAATAGATGTTAGCAATTTTTATTGTTCTTTCTTCTTTCTCTTTAGGGTACGAGCCCCCCCAAGCTCTCTCACCCCTGCCCCCACCTGCCCCATCACCCCCAGCCTGGCAGGCTCGGGCCCTGGGCACTGCCCGGTTGCAGCTGGTGGAGTTCTCGGCCTTTGTGGAACCGCCGGATGCGGCTGACTCTGTGAGTGAAACTTTGGGATAATCACGGAGAGATTTTGGGAATGTAGAGGGTGTCAGGGAGAGAGGGCATAGAGTAGTGGTTCTCAAACGTTAGCATGTATCAGAGTCATCTGGGGGCTTGTTAAAACAGAAATCACTGGGCCCCAATCCTTGAACTTCTGATTCACTAGATGTGATGTGGGGCTTGAGAATTTGTGTTTCTGACAAGCTCCCTGGTGGTGTTGATGTGGCTGATTCAGGGACCATACTTTGAGAACTACTAACATAAAGGAACTGGAGGGTCATGGGGTCATGGGTTGGGAAGGTCAGAGAAACTCTCCAGAACATCGTTCATTCATTCATGAAATATGTTTGAGTTTCTACCATTTGCCAGGCTTTGTGATGTGTGTAGGAACTTGTGAAAGCAGATTTTATTTCTGGGCTTGAGCTTCTCCTGGGCTAGGATGGAGATAGATGCCATACTAAGCCAAGGTGGGCTGTCTGTTAGAAGAAACAACTTCCAACTCTTAGAGACTGAACACCATAGAAGTTTCTCAGTCATGTAACATTTCAGTGCTGGTTTAGCGGGAGCCTTCCACACAGTGATTCAGGTATCCAGGCCCCTTCCATTTTGGCCTCTGCCATTTTCTAGGGCTTCAGAATTTGCCGAGGGATTCTCTACATCTGGCCAGGAGATGGAGAAAGGGAGAGAGTTAAGATTGTGCAGGAGGCTTTAAGGATTTGACTAGGATGTGTCAACTGTCATGCCTGCTCACATCCCATTGGCCAGAACTTAGTCATGTGGTCTCACCTAACTGCAAATGAGCCTGGGAAATGTAGTTTAGCATTGTAAAGGAACACAGTTTTGTGAACACATAGCTGTCACTGTATAAACACCAATTAAAACACTAATGTAAGGCTGGGCATGGTGGCTCATGCTTGTAATCCTAGCACTCTGAGAGGCAGAGGTGGGAGGATCGCTTGAGCTCAGGAGTTTGAGACCAGCCTCAGCAAGAGGGAGACCCAGTCTCTACCAAAAATAGAAAAAATTAGCCGGGCATCGTGGCACGTGCCTGTAGTCCCAGCTACTCAGGAAGCTGAGGCCGGAGGATCGCTTGAGCCCAGGAGTTTGAGGTTGCAGGTAGCTATGATGATGTCACTGCACTCTAGAGAGGGCAACAGAGCAAGACTGTGTCTCAAAATACCCAAAACGAACCAAACAAAAAAACCTCTCCTCCCACTTGGAGTAAAAGGTAACATCCTTTCTGTTGCCCACAAGGCTCTGAGGGTGACCGCTGTTCCTGCTCTGTCCTCACCTCTGCACTCTCACCCTCACTCACTCTGCTCCAGTCACACTGGCCTCCTTGCTCTTCCTCAAACATGTCAGGCCCACTCCTGCCTCCGGGCCTTTGCATCTGCTGTTCCTGCTGCCTGGAGTGTACTTTCCCCAGATCTCCATGACTCACCCTCTCCATTTGTTCAGGCCTTTGCTGAATTATCTTCTCAAATAGGCTTTCCCAAACACCATAGTGGAAAATACCAGGAAATGGAAAATATCACTTCCAACCCCCTTCCTATACTTTACTATGTTTTTTTTTAATAACATATATCACCCCTTGAAATTTATATTATCCATGGGCTGATTTTTAAATTTTCTCTCTCTGTCAGTAGACTATGAACTCCATGAGGTCAGCGACTTTGTCTTGTAACCCTGGGACCCACAATAATGCCTGCACACAGATCTCTTGATAGATGTCTGTTCAATAACAGGGACAGGGGAAGCTAGAATAGGGGAAGCTCAAGTTTTTGTGAGTATACAGTGGAGTAATTCTGTTTGGAGAGTTAGTGAAGGTTTCCCTGAGATGACAATATTTGAGTTGGGCTTTGAGGGTTATATAGGAGTTTGCCATGTGTGGAATTGGATGTTCCGGATATGGAGATGGGCAGAGAATGGAGTTTCAGGAAGACAAATAATAGAGTATGGTGGGAGCTGGTGAGGCTGCAGATAGGTAGCCAGGTTCTGGTTCTGGAGGAACTGGCATTGCTAAGTTGAAGGACCCAGACTTTCTCCTGAGGGCAGTGGGGAATTATGGAAAGGGTGGGGTAGAGAGATCCTATCTGATTGTTATCAAGGGAGGCTTCCAGGAAGAGGTGGATTTGGGCCTGGAAAGATGGAGGGAAGATTTGTGTTGGAGGAGGAGATGGGGAGAGCTTTCAGGATATGGAAAGAGTCAAGACAAGCAGTCACGAGAATGTGGACGGATAGGGAGTATTAGATGTGGGCTGTGTGGATTCCTACCCATCCATCCATTGAACGTGGTGAACACCTGCTCTACACAGGGCCAGGTTGAGGGGGTGGGGGCTTTGTCCTGGGGGCACTGGGGGGCCACGAGAGGACTATGAGCACGGGAGGACCAGGGTCAGCTCTGGGGCCGTATGAGGGATGAACTGGAGAGCAGAGTTGGGAGGCTGGGGTGAGGGTGGGACAGGCTGGGGCCTGAGCTGAGGCTGAGGCAGCGGGGATGGAGATGAGGGGACAGGGCAGAGAGTTGGGGACTGAGGGACTGTGGGGAGGCAGGGGCAGAAAGGAGTGAGGACAGCGCCTAGGGGTCAGGCCTAGTGTCGGGTGGACGGTGTGGAATAGCCAGCTGGAGCTGTGGGGATGGCAACGGTGTGAGCTGGGCTTGTGCGGTGAGGGTCGGAGGTCCAGCCCACCTCCCGCTTTTCACCCACGGCCGACCCTCCTCAGTACCAGAGGCACCTGTTTGTACACATCAGCCAGCACTGCCCCAGCCCCGGAGCACCCCCGCTCGAGAGTGTGGATGTCCGGCAGATCTATGACAAATTCCCCGAGAAAAAGGGTGGTCTGCGAGAGCTGTACGATCGTGGGCCCCCACACGCCTTTTTCCTGGTCAAGTTCTGGGTAAGTTCCAGCAGCAAAAGCGAAAGTGCGTGTAAATCATGTGCCAACTCAGCTAAGGCCTCTGGCTCTAGGGGGATAGAGCCTGGCGTCAGCCTGGCCCTTACCAGTCAGTCCTCATGGCTTGGAGTGTCAGCCCCCTTTGCTGGCCTCCAGGGAGGGACGGAGGCACTTGGGCCTTCCTATATCCCACTGGACTTTATCACACCTGGTCATGTGACTAATATGACCCTGGGCATTAGTGTGGCATGTTTCAGGCTCCCCATTCCTCACCTGACCACACTAAGCCTTGTTGCTAAGGAACGACCCTCTCCCCTTAGCCAATGGAGTCATGGACTGTTCTGGTCTCTAAAGAGGGGCCTGGGGCTTTGCTAGTAGGTCCCACCAGACCCTGTTGCTAGTGAATCTCTGGCTTTGTGCAAGTGATTGAAGGAGCTGGGGAGTGGCTTTGTAAAGTATTTTATCTATTTAACAATCATCTATTGAGCGCTTCCCATATACAGGTCCGATACCAGGTGCTGTGTATATAATCGTGACTAAGAGGGATCATCTTGGGTCTTTCTTAGGCCTATTTGGTTTGGTGTCCGGTACAGTGACTGTCACTGTCGGGGCTCAATAAACATCGAGGGGGTGTTAACTTTTGAGTAGCCAGTGCAGTGGAGGGATGTAGTCTCTGAGAAGAAAGCCTGCTGAGGGCTTGAATTTTACTGGTCTTGCTGGACATGTGGTTGTCATTGTTATAAAGCTTCCTGGTATGTGAAGTGGAGGCCCGAGACTGCTCCAGGGATGTGCTGCTGAGGTCTCTGGCATCGTCAGGGCTTAAGCAGGCCTCCCCTGGTCCCAGGTCTGGAGAGCCAGCCCGTTAGGAAGCCCAGCTTCTGAAGGGGTTCAGGGGTACGGCTGGTAAGGCCTTAGGTTTTGCCTGGCTTCACAAGGCCCTGTTGCCAGAGTGATGGATGGAGTCGGGCCTGTGAGGACAGTGACCTGGCAAAGCGTTAGCAACTAAAGTTAGGAGGAGGAAGAGCTGTGCCTCTCAAGGAGGTGTCTCAGACCAAAGGTGTGATGAGGTCTTAGGCTTCGTTAGGCCCCATTTTACCTAATGACACTTGGCCAACTCTCTACACACTTGGCCATTGGGTTTCTGGAGGGCGTCTGACCTCTGAGAATTGGCCGAAAGGGCTGGAAAAAGTGTTCTGGAGAGGAGTCAGGCCTCCTCAGGCCCCATCAGGCCCCTTTGCTTAGCCACTTGCCTTGGCAACCAGGGTCGTGAAGGGCCCTGGGGGAGGGCACCCAGCTTTAACCTGTTGCTAAGGAGTAACTACCTCCTTAGTAACCAGGCTCTTGGAAGGGGCTGAACTCTTGAGTTGGGGGCTTCAAGAAAAAAAAGATGAATTCCAGGGCTCCTTTGGTTACTAGGGAGAGAGGGCGAAGACAATTTTGGGGACCCAGATTTCTCCAACACTGATGGGAGGGTGGATGCTCGTCGAGAGGTTTGCAAGCTGAGGAAGGGACGTCGGCAACTGCAGGCGCAATGGGGGAACCAACTATGGGGCAGAGTCCCCACTATTTATTTACAAGGACGTCTCCTCCAACTCATCTGTGGCTCCCCATTTCCCAGGCGGACCTGAACTGGGGCCCAAGTGGTGAGGAGGCAGGGGCTGGTGGTGGCAGCAGCAGCGGTGGCTTCTACGGAGTGAGCAGCCAGTATGAGAGCCTGGAGCACATGACCCTCACCTGTTCCTCCAAGGTCTGCTCCTTTGGCAAGCAGGTGGTGGAGAAGGTGGAGGTGAGGCTGGAGGGTGGAGCTCTGGGCGGGTGAGTGCCCAGCCACCTGCCACTCTAGGGGTGCTGAGTGGACCACAGCCATGATGGCTCAGGCATTTGGGGGTGTGCATGGTGGTGGTGGGGCATCCCAGCCTCTTTGAGGGTTTAGTGCATAAATTTGCAGCTAATGTGGAGTTCAAAAGTCACAGGTAGGGATCACTTTGAGGGCTGAAAGGTAAGGTGTGGTACAGAGATTTAGAGTCACTATAGTTCAAAAGGTTCTTATGGATATGGAGGGATTTGTAGGGCAAGGAGGTTCAGAAGTCACGCTTAGGGATTGCTGGGGACTTAGAGGATCTTAAGGCCAGAGGTCATACAGAGTTTGGAGCTGTTGTGGAGGGGTCTTTGGAGGGTTTGGAGGGTATCTGAGGGCTTGGAGGTCAGAGGAGTTCAGAGGTCTTTGAGCATTCAAAGCGTCACTTTGTGGGGCTTGGGGGGTTCCTGGTTTGCAGGCTCAGAGATCCTGAGTTGGATACCCAAGGGTTCAGGGCTCCGTCTCTGGTCACTGTGGGTGGGGTGATGGAGAGAAGATAGCAGTGGGAGTGGGTATGGCATCAGAGAGGCACAGGTGGAGTTCCTGGGGTGACCCATGTGTCTCTGAGCCACTGCCCTCCCCACTCCCTGCCCCCTGGTTTAGACGGAGCGGGCCCAGCTGGAGGACGGGAGATTCGTGTACCGACTGCTGCGCTCGCCCATGTGTGAGTACCTGGTGAATTTCTTGCACAAGTTGCGGCAGCTGCCCGAGCGATACATGATGAACAGCGTCCTTGAGAACTTCACCATCCTCCAGGTGACATGCTGGGGCTGGGCCAAGCAGGGGCCCTGATGTGGAGGGGAGTGCCCACAACAGAACCCTTAGTCTAGGGGGACAGGGGCAGGGGGACCCCATGTTGGACCCTCAGCCCAGGGGACCCGCTTACCCTTGGTACTGACACAGCAGGGACTCTGAAGTGAGCGCTCAGCCTAGGGCTCTTTTAACCAGGAAACTGATGCAGTGGGGACCCCACAGTTGACCCTTAGCTTAGGGGACCCCTTCAGTAGGTGAACTCAGGTGGTGGGGACTTCAGAGCACTCTCACATAAGGGGATCGATCCCTCCTTCACTGGGGAAGCTGACATGGAGGCCACCTCGCCAGATCCTCAGCTTCCCAGGGACCCCAACCTTAGCTCCGGGAATGTGATGTGGTAGAAGCCCCTTTAACTTTGGGAAATGTGCTGAGGTAGAGACCCCTGGGCTGGGGGACCTGAAGCGATGGTACTCCCTTTACCTGCGGCATGGTGGAGACCCCTTTCACCTGGGGAATGTGATGTGGGGGGAACCCCATTAACTCTGAGACATGACATACCATCTGATGTGAGGGCCCTCAGCTTAGGGGTAACTCCCATTGCCCAGGGAACTTGACATTTGGGTGTCCCTTTTACTTGGGAAACATGACATGGTGGGGACTTGTTTTGTGGGGGTGGAAAAGAGGTCTGCTGGGTGCCTCATGATAGCTTGGGGAGGGCACAGTGCTCCTTGCCCTCCCTTCCAAGCATAGAGCCCCTTCTCCTGGCCTCCCTGGCAGGTGGTGACAAACAGAGACACCCAGGAATTGCTGCTGTGCACCGCCTACGTCTTCGAGGTCTCCACCAGCGAGCGGGGAGCCCAGCACCACATATACCGCCTGGTCAGGGACTGAAGGGGGACCCCAAAACTGGCTCACCCCCGGAACACTCTCCTCCCAGGAAGGACCCTCCAGCTCTCCTTATGCTACTTATTTAGGGAGGGGGCTGTGATTTAAAGGGGCTGACCTCAGAGGCCTAAGCAATAGGGGACCCCAAAACTTGGTTGGTGAGCTGAACAGGCTGGGACTGAGGAAAGAACAGACTCTGATAGTGGGACCTCACAGGGGGTGTCTGAAAGGACAGATCACTCCGGAGCATCAGGGATTGAGGACAGGAGTGAGACAACTTCCAGGTACATTTCTTAGCCTCTGACGGGGCCCCCTCTCCACCTTCTGGATGTTTCCAAGGGCCTTAGTTACACAGTGGCTTGTCTCCCTTCCTGTTTTCCAGCTGCCCCTCCCCCTAAATTTCTGCCTCTCCCTACCACTCCTTGTATCACAAAGATTAACCCTTTTTGTGCAGGAGCAGAGCCAGGTGGGCCCTGGAAATATTTTTAATATAATGAGATATTTATAAGAGTTATGACTTTATCTCAGCTGCACAAACAATGGGGTGAGGCTTTGTAATCTCATCCCCCTCCTTCTCAGTGAGCCATGAGCTGGACTGTGTTTCCTTCCCCAGACCCCAAAGTGTGTTGGTTTGTGTTCTGACAGAGGATAAAGCTATTTTACCAAAATGCACGGTATTTATTTGAGGTTTGGGTGAAAAATAATCTTGTGGGAGGTGGTAGGCCAACAGACGAGGCAAGGAAATGAAATATCTTTGGGGGCAGGAAGCTGGTGGACGGAAGCCCCAGGTCCCACGGGAGAGGGGACAGCAGCAGCCAGGCAGGCAGACACCTGGGTCCCCAGGGGAATGAGGTGGAGGGCTCAATGACTGGGGCAAACTGAGGATTAAACAAATATTTACAGGTGGCACGGAAGTGCACTTGAAGGGGTCCAGGCGGGGCTTGGGAAGGATGGGGCCTAGCGGTATCGAGCGAGCTGTTTGTAGACGTGGTCCAGGTTTCTGCACAGGAATATCGACAGCGTCATGAAGCCGAGCTACAGAGAAAGGAGACGCAGTCAGAGACGTTTAGTGGGTGTCGGCGGCAGTGTGTGTGATGAGCCTCCCCCTAACCAGGGAGAAAAGTCAGGCTAGGACCCAGAATTGGATCAACAGGGCTAGAGAAGGGAGAGGTAGAAATGAGCGAGGCTAGAGGGAGAACTACAGTAGCGTCTGAGGAGTAGGGTCGGAAGCAAGCCCAAGGTTCTTTATTCTGGAGGCTCATCTGCCTCTCCCTCCGCCTCGGCCTCAGTCTCTGCTCCTGCACTCCCCGTCTCGGGCTGCTCCTCGTCTTGGTCCCACAGCGGCCAGGGCCCCAGGGCCATGGGCAGCTTGCCCTGCGGGGCCTTGTCCCCCCAGTTGGGGCAGGCATCCGCCATGCCCCAGCCACCCCTTAGACTGCCGCTACGCCCGCTACTGCTGAGCACGCCACAGCGCCCGCTGCCGCCGTCAGCGATCAGGCTGGGCCCGGGGCTGGAACGGTTGGCGCCCGCCACTGACGGCTCGGGTTCCCGGCGGGACGCCCAGCGCTGTAGCTGCAGGCTCAGCACCATGACACTCACCTGCGAGGAAACGGGAGGGCTATTGCGGCCAATAGCAGGAGGCTCTCCCTGCGTACGGCCAATCAGGGCTCGCAGAAGTTAGGTCTCCGCCCCCTCGTCCTAGGCAGGCGACGGGAGGGCCAGGATCCGCCCGCTAGAGCGCAGTCGCACAGGCATCTTTGACAGACAACCCGACGACGCGCGATCAAGGGCGGAGCCATCTAGGGATTATAGGGCCAATGGCAAGTGGGGGCGGGTCCAGATCACCTCAAGTAGACCGACGCCCAGACAGATGCCCACTATGGAAATGAGGTTGTTGTGCAGCCACTTCTGGAGGTTCTGCGCGCAGCCCTGGGGGTGTACAAATAGAGTTCTTTCTGGGATTCTCTTGCAAGTCCAGGCCCAGCCCTCGCCTCACTTTCAGGCACCGACCTGCTCCCCCAGTTACCACGGTTCTCTGGTTTCCTTAGTTCTACCCCTCCGCCTCACCTCTTCCAAGCCTGGCCTTTATGCCCCGCCCTTCCTGCAGACCCCGCCCCTTGCAGAGGGCTCCGCCCCTCCTGTTGCACCGTTCCTTTCCCTGTAGCCCCACCCTCTCACAGATCCCGCCCATCATCTGCGGCCCCGCCTCCAGAAGGCCCTGCCCCGCCCCGTCAGCCCCCTCCCCTCCCCTCCAGGCCCCACCTCACCTCGCGGTAGATGGAGCTTTGTGCCGGGACCGTGCAAAGGTCTGTGCTGTGTCTGGGCCGCACTGGCGGTCCGAGCCGGCTGAACTGGGGGATTGTGGAGTCGTTTGTCGCCGACAAGTTGTAACAGGAGCAGGGCACGCGGTGCGCTTCCGACTCGTTGCCTCTCAGGATGAGCACCGGGAACCAGTCCTGCGGAGAGTGCCAGCCGCAGCAGCGCAGCTGGGAGAGGAATACGAATCATAGGCACGGGGACTGGAGAGATACGAGATGATGTTGGGGATCAAGGGACTAGGTGGTGGGTAGGAGGTCATGTCGGGGAGCAGGGGGCTAAGTGGTGGGTGCAGGGTGGGGGCAGTGGGCTGGGCCAGGGATGCGAAGGGGCCAGGGGACGTTACTGGAACGTGGAACTGGGAGAGACGTGAGTGACGGGGTGATCCGTGGCTGGGGAAGGAGCTGCAGCATCGCGCTGTGGAGCGAAGATTGGGTGGGCGGTGCAGTTCAGCCTCAGGGGAAAGGTGAGTGGGAATGCGAGGCGACATGAGTGTCCAGGGAATGGAATCTCATCGGGGGTGGGATCCGGTGGGAACCAGAGTCACCACGGAGTGGGAAGCTGGGTCACGCTACGGTCTCGGGTGTAGGGACCCGGCCACTTGAGGCGGGGCGGAGTCTCCTCGAGACAGAGGGTGGAGCTACACCAGGGTCTAGGTACTGGGACTGGGCCATGTTGGGGCCAGTTATGTTATCATTTGGGGGCGGGACCACGTCAGGCGGGGTGGGGTTGGGGTATTTTAGGGTCTGGAGCTGGGGACCGGGGCCACGTCTGGGCGCAGTCTCCTTGAAGAACCAGGGAGAGCAACATCGGAGTCCGGGATCTCGACGAGGGGTACGCGTCAGAATGGAGTCGGGGGCTCACGCACCTGGAACTGCACGTAGTCCCAGCTCTCCTCAGCCGCGGTCTCCTCCGGGTTGGCGTGGTAATTTTGGATGGTCTTCTTCACGATGTCCTGCACGCTTCGCTCCAGCTGCGAGGCGGAGAGTGAGGCGGGGCCGTATCTGCTCAGCCTCTTGCCCCAGCCTCTCTCAGGCTGTCTCAGCTCCAAGGGGTTCCTGAGTACCTTTGTGTCGGCCTCGGTTTCTCCCCGAATGTCTAGCTAGGTCTCTGTTCCTCAGGTCTGTCCTGTTTCTCCCACTATGTCCGGGCGTCATTAGGTCTCTATCTCTTCTTTGGGAGCTTCTATTTCTTTCTTTATCTCTCTCTCTCTCTCTGTCCCCTCCAGCTCCCCATCCCATGTGTTTCCCTTGGATCTCTTTATGTCTGTCCATGTTGATGTGTCTGTCTCTGACTCCGTGTCTTTGACTCTATCTCCCTCTCTGTCACTCTGCCAGTCTTTGTATCTGTATCTCTTTCTGTCCTCTACCTCTCTGTTGTTTCTCTCCCTCCCTCTCTCTCTTTTTTATTTTTAGACACAGTCTCACTCTGTCTCTCAGAATAGAGTGCCATGGCCTCAGCCTACTCACAGCAACCTCAAACTCCTGGGCTCAAGTCACCCTCCTGCCTCAGCCTCCTGAGTAGCTGGGACTACAGGAACGTCCCACCACGCCCAGCTAATTTTTTTTCTTTCTATTTTTAGCAGAGAAGGGTCTTGCTCTTGCTTAGGCTGGTCTCAAACTCCTAAGCTAAAGCGATCCTCCCACCTGGGCCTCCCAGAGTGCTGGGATTACAGGCGTGAGCCACTGCACCCAGCCTGTTATTTCTCTTCATCTATGGCAGCCCCTGTCTGCCTTTGTTCCGGGTCTCTCTCCACCCCCTCCCACAACTACTCCCCACCCAGTGCCAAGGTGGGGTGGTGGCAGTGACAGCAAGCTCACCCGGACGCGCTGAGTGGAGATGAGGATTCCCAGGGTGATCTGCGTGGCAAACAGCAGCAGCAGCATCCCAAAATACTGGGGGCAGAGTGGAGAGGTCAGGCTCAGCCCCCTCCCTAGGCCATTTTTGAAGGGAGGATTAGGAGTGGTCCCAGGGATGGAGGGAGCTGGGGGACTCACCAGAGCCAGAAGGCAGCGGAGTTCCTTGAGGGCCCCCACACAACCCAGGAGGGCGAGACCCATGGTGAGGATTCCTGAAATGGCAAGGATTTTGGACCAGATCTGCAGAGGCACGAAGGACAAGCCTGGGAGAGGTGAGAGGCAGTGACAGTGAGCCTGGGCACACAGTTCCAAGCAGCCCCATCCCCCACCCAGGCAGCCACCGAAGTGGAGAGCAGTATTCTGGGGGTCCTCTCTCTGGGCTCCTGGTGCCCCTGTCTCTGGGTTTCTGCCTCTCTCTGGGACTGTCCCTGCCCCACTGTGAGTCTCTGTCTCTTTTTGGGACTTTCTCCTCCTCATTCTGGACCTGTTCCCCCCTCTCTGGATCTCTGTCCCTCTCTTTTGCTCTCACTCTCTCCTTCCGCTCCTCCTCATCCCCAGTAGTTTCAACCCCACCACTTGTCCTGTGACATTGGCTCAGTCACTTAAACCCTCTGAGGCCTAGTGGATAATGATATTTATTTCTCAGGGTTATCTCGAGGGACACATAGGAGCATGTGTTCAAGTCAGTCCTCAATACAGGGCAAATGCTTATTAAATATGAGCTACTAGGATTTGGACGATTACTCCTGTATTATTTTTCTGCTGTTATTAATATGATTTCTGCTCTTCTACTTCCTTGCTGCACGACATCCAGCAGGGGACTTCCCCTCTCGACCTCAAGCAAAAGGAAGGTTTGTGGGAGGGTCTGATGAGCAGCAGCAGAAGATGTGACACATAGGAAGTGCTTGAGAAATGGCTCTCGTCACTATTATTATTGATAGGCACAACCCCGGGGAAAACACAGGCTCCGAGAGGCGCAGCAACGGTGAGCAGGTGACCGGAGCCTGTGGCTTGCCCAGGGAGTCAGGCACTGTGGGCCTCCCTGGGACAAGGGAGACCCCAGGAGGTCACCTGAGGGGGAGGCCCTCCCGACTGTCCCAGCCCCCCTCACCCACAAAGGACACGAAGCTGGTCTTGTCGATGAGTATCCAGATGCCGAAGCAGAAGATGAGGCTGCCTAGGACCTGGAGGGAGGAGATGAGAATATGGCGGGGGGCGAAGAGGGGATGTGAGTGAGGTTTGGGGCGCTGCGGCAGGGGCTGGGGCCTGGGCTGGGTAGCCAGGAGGCAACTCACGAAAAAGAAGAGGTTGAAAACGAAGAGGAAGTACTTGATGAGGCTGAGGCAGCTCTCCTGGGCCGACATCTTCGCCTAGAAGGGGGAGTGATCAGCTTGAGGGACCGGACAGGTGTTGGCAGTGGGGGAGACAGGCAGAAAGACAGAGGCCGAGAGAGAGCGCGAGAGGCTGAGAGAGGGGGAGAAAGGAAGAACACAGAGAAAGAGGAAGTTCCAGGGGTGGGGCTCCACCCCCTCCCTCTTCACCCAAAGTGACTCTCCGCTCTGTCTCTGTCTCTGTCCCTGTCTCCCTCACTTGTCCTTCTGGGCATACACCCTGGTACCTGAGGGGCCTTGGAATTTGTGGGCACCAAGGACACATGGGGCACTTCCTCCCACGTCTCCATGGCTCAGGCCACGGGATCCAAAGGGACTCTTGATCCATTCATACCCACCGCTGGGCACTGGGACTCCAGGTCTGGCCCTGGACAGCAGCCGACCTCACAGACACTCTGACCTCACGGCCTGCTGGGCTCTGCCCTGTCTGCACCCAGCTCTGTTCCTCCTTCCCTGCCCTGGGGCTCTTGTTCCCCCTGTCTGGGTCTCTGGGTCTTTTTCTCCCCCTCTTCTCTGCCCCTTTCTCTCACAATCTCTTTCTCTGTCTCTGGGTCTCTTTCCTTGCCCTCTGGATTTCTGTCCTCCTGTCCTTTCTGTCTCTATCCTCCTTCTGTCTGGGCTTCTGGCCCTTTCTCTCTGGGTCCCTGTCCTCCTTTCACTCTCTGCCCCGCCCCCCTGCCTTTGCCCCTGTCTCTGCATCCTGTTGTAGACCAGGGCGCTCCCATGTGCTGAGGGGCAGGGGCCGGGCACCTGGGGAAGTGAAAGTGCTGCAGACCTGAGATGGGAATGTCCCTGGGAGTGGGGAGGGCAGCTGAGCGGTGTCGACAAACCCAGCGGAAGCTGGGCCTCATGCAGTGCTTCCTGCCTCTGCAGTGGGGCCTGAGGGGAGAAGGAGTCAGGACGGAGCATGGAAGCTTGGCAGTCAGATCTGAGTTTGCAGCGCCTGCTTGCTGGGGCACCCTTGCAGCCTCCGCAGTCCCCCTGAAGTCCTCATTGGCTCCCCACTCCGGTCAAGTCTCACATCCCTCACAGATTTCCAACTTTGGGGGTTTTTCCACCACCCAGTCATATACCTACACCCTGGGAACCCTGGCTCCCTGAGTACCCAGCCCTCTCTCCCTTCTGAGAGATCTCATCTACTATTAATATTTTTTTTCTTTCTTTCTTTTTCTCTCTTTCTTTTCTTTACTTCCTTCCTTCCTTCCTTCCTCCAAGACAGAGTCTCACTCTGTCACCTGGGCTAGAGTGCAGTGGCATCGTCATAGCTCACTACAACCTTAAATCCCTGACCTCAAGCAATCCTCCCTCCTTGGCCTCCCAAAGTACTAGGATTACAGATGTGAGCCACTGTGCCTGGCCTCATCTACTATTTTCTAAATCTGTCTCCTGAGCTCCAGCCAACTGTCCCCTGGGTGTCCCCTGGGACATTAATTCTCACCACACCCTACACAGAGCTCAGGGTCTCCCTCAAATTCTCACCCTTGCCTGGTTTTCCCGTCTGAGGCAGCCCCACCATCTACCCCGTCACTGGGCCAAACCCCTGTCCTTGTCCCCACTCCCCCAATTGCCTTGTCAGTCTCTAAGGTGGATACTTCTTGCCTCCTAATTCTCCACTTGACCCCTTCTCTCTGTCCTCAGGGTTCAAGCTGGCTCAGGGATCCTGATCTCATTTGGACCCTGACCTCAGCCTCCTCCCTGGCCTCTAGTCTCTCCCTTCCAGTCCAACCCCAACATGGCCCCAGGGGAGTCATTTTGAAACCCAGACCTGAGTGACACAGTCACCCTCTCATTCCTCGGCTGCTACTTGTAACCATCACAAACTCTTCTATGCTCTACCATTAAAATACATTGTAAATCCATCCCCTTCTCTCCCAGGCCATCATCCTAGTCCAGACCCCTATCATTTTCCACAAAAGTAATGATAGCTGATTGCAGTGGGTGGAATGGTGTCCCCCAAAAGATATGTCTATGTCCTAATCCCTGGAATTTGCAAATGCAACCCTATTTAGAAAAAAGGGTTTTACGGATGTAATTATGTTAAGGGTCCCAAGACGAAATCATCCTGAATTATCCAGGTGGGCCCTGAATCCAACGACAAGTGTCCTTCTAAGAGACACACAGAAGAGAAGACACAGAAGAGGAGGGCGCCACGTGAAGATGGAGGTGGAGATTGGAGTTCTGCGACCAGAAGTCAAGGAACTCCTGGAGCCACCAGGCGCTGGAAAAGGCAAAGAACTGATACTTCCCCAGAAATTCTGGAGGAAGTGTGGTCCTGCTGACACCTTGATTTTGGACTTCTGGCCTCCAGAACTGTGTGAGAATGAATTTCTGTTGTTTAAAGCTACCAAGTGTGTGATAATTTGTTTTTGCAGCCATAGGAAACTATAATAGTACATCAATCTCTCCTTTTCCCACCTACTAATCCCCTCATCAGAAACAAGGATGTGAGTAACTAGAGGTCTAGGGTAGGAGGCAGAGATTTGCCAGATGCTCATCGATCTGGTTTCTTCTTTCCCAGGCACATAGGAGGACTGCATTTGTCAGGCCTCCTTGCAGTGAGGTTGAGGTCATGCGAATGGCCTTGGGCTGCTGCAGTGGGTGCAGAAGAGCCTGGCCATAAAATGTCCTCTGTAATCCTTACTCCCTTCACTCGCTGGCTGTGCGAAGCTGAGGATTCAGCACAAGGACTCAGAGATAGAACATCCAGGAGATAAAAGAGGCTTAGGTCCCTGGTTTCTCCTTGGACTTACATAAAGCATTTTGGACTTTAAAAT